GGACGTGTTGTTTGCCGCCGCCACCGCTGCCGCCACTACCGCCTCTTTCACCAAACCATCACAGGCACTCGTCGGCATCTGCGATCGAGTAGGTTCTCGATGGCGAAACGCATGTATAAACAAAAACGAAAAGCAACATGAATCGCAAGCCTTTTGCGTGTTGGCGATACACACGTGTGTAACACGCACCGAAACGTATCGGCGCGCTCCGCGTTAGACAAGCAATTGAATATAGGGCGGTGTTGTTGGAGGCGCCAATGTGTAAGCCTCCTATACGATGAGAGAAAGGAAAATTGCTAAATATCAAAAGACAGCTTTAAAGCGTAAACGTAGCAACTCGATACAAGGGAGGAGCGGCGGTGGAGGCGGCGGCTGTGATCCAGCTTTGATGGTGTGCGGTGAGTTGTGATATTGTTTCTCTTCGCTCGCTGTGTTCGTTCAGGGCTCGTACGCCCATTTTACCCCATGCTACACGATTGCTCTCGCGTACAAACAGCCGCGCGACGTGCAACGTAAATGCGGAAACGAGCCAGGAGGAGCGCGCTAAGTTCGGTCATCTATGAAATGCTTTTCGATTTTTCCTGCTGCAGCACTTTGCGCTACGTGCCGTGACTGTAGTCACTCGGTTACTAATTGCAGCGGTCTAAGAGGCACTCTAGAGTCACTCAGGGGATGCTTATATTTATTTGTTTAAAAAAATTAAGTAGGTTCTGTTTTAGCAAGAAGAAGTTTTTGCCACTTTGGAAGTGTGTGCGACGTTTACTCAAATATTTTCCAGCACGGTAAGGTAATTTAACTTTGCTGTGGTTGGAAAAAATATATTTTTTGACGTAAAATTTTTAACCACAGCCGTTTTTATTCGCATCAAAATGAATGAATTTTTATATTTATTTGTAATTGCAAATTTGGCGCTGCATTCGCTGCAATAAATGTAATTATTTTGCATGAATCGAAAATTCCGTTTTATTGTCCGCTTTTTAAACAATAGGCAATTTAGTAGAATTGATGAAAACCCAACAACAATTTGCGTTTCCTTCCCGCGCGCCTCCGATATTTACATGCACGCGAATCGAAAAACGACGCCGGCGGTTTTACGATCTGCAACGGATGCAACTGCGCGCCTCCACCAACGACAATACAGTGGATATAGTACGCGTTATAGGGTAATAATATTGAAAACCGTTCGCTCGGAATTGATTTACATGCGCGTTTTATTGTATCGCCGTGTTTCCATTAAAATATTTGAATTTCAATTGAAAATTCGCGCCGTGCTGCGCTTAAACCTGAATGCGCATGCAGTCAACTCTCGGCTGCGCGCCGATGTGTCAATTCCCTTCGCGCCCACGCACGCAAAAACCGGCCTCCCGAGCGGATTTACAAATGCCTACGGACACTCGAACATTAGGCACACTCGTTGCCAATAACATTTTCTGGCAAAAAGGTAGCAAACATAAAAATAGACGCGAGAGTCGAAAAAAAAAAATACAAACACACTCGTAGCGGCACCAGCAGTGATAAATTTCTATCGATGTAAACCGGATCAGATTCCGTTTCATGTACACATATGCTTAATCGGGTTGAACGCCGGCGGCTGAAATAATACAATAAACCATGCGCGACACGATCATTTACACCTGAACTGTTTTCCGATATTTTTGTTTCGTTACTACCTACATGCCCTCCCGCAGCAAGGGAATTAATGAGCAGTCGGTGAAATAAGTTTGTTTAAACATTTAAATTCTTCGCTGGAGTGCGTTAGGATGCGGGTAATTAAGATGCTTTATGTTTATTTTGAGCGCGCGTGCCCACCACCTACGCAAACGCGCTCAGCGAGGGGATAAATTATTAGTACACGAAATCGCGCAAGGGAGAAATCAAGGCGTGCGCTTTGAGGGACGAATTGTGACCACTCGCCCGGAAGTAATTTCCTCTCGGCCGGTCTGTGCAACTGCAGCCACTCAAGCTCAATGTTTAGACGTACTCAATGAAGTGGAAATTAACGTATTATCGATACAATCAAAATAAAACACCGCGTGTGTTATGGTATTTTAATTAATTTAAATATTTTAGCCAAATTTATTGAGCGTTGTATTACAAAATGTGTTTTTCCTTGTCAAACAATGACTGTAATTTAATAAATACAATTAATCGTAAATCACTTTGAAAGTTGTGATGCGCAACTCAAACAATTGTAAAAATTATACAGTGTGTTGAAGTATTGCTAATCTAATGTGTGTATTTATTTGTTTCCAGGTTAGTTTTCCGGAACACTGTGTATTTCCGCAAAGGATAAAACCCGAAACCGACACATCAGATAAATTTAATTAAATTTCAGGTAATAAAAATTAATTAACCGACGTTTGATAATTTGCTACGCGCGCGCGTGTGTGGGTGGGCGTTGAATCGCTGCGTGTTTTATGCGAACGCATAAACAACACACGCGCACATTTGATTTCCATCCCTTCGCGCCCCCGATAATACTCGTGAATTCTCACACAGACACTCGTGGTTCATTTGCATGTATGGTACTCGCGCCCCCCACGGCCGGTGGTATAATACGCCCGCCGATTCGCATGATTTGAATGAGGATTAAATAAGCGTGGGGATAATTGGTGTGAACCCCGTGTCTGCACGGCGCATACCGGGCTCTCGGGGTGGTTAATCCTTGCGCGGTGCGCTCTCACGCAACAAACGTCTAAATATCTGCGCCGAACAGCCCGAACATGACGTAATATAGCGCTTTACATGCCTTTGGTGCTCCGGTACAGACGCGGCAGCTTTTTCTCTGTCCCTCTCCTGGGGCACGCCGTAGGCGAAAGGTTCGGGCCCCTTTTTGTCATTTTAGGGAAACGCGGCGTGTTTAAGAGGATGGCGGATCTCAATGAGACGAAATTTAGTTATAACCGACGGTTATTATTTTGCGCCGTCGAAAGGGTTTGACGTTTTAAACCTGCATTGATGGGCGGGTTCATTAATCACGTTTGGCTTATCTGAAAAAACAACTTAATTGCGCTCCTCTGTTAAGTAAGCATCTAGGTTAATATAGGATAGCATATTTAATAATAGATATAATTAATCATTTTATTTAAAAAAAAATGAATCAATTTTTTTATTTGCGTATAAAATAATTGTTATATTGAGATCAGAGTTTCATAAGCGCTAAATTAAATGCCCTCTGATGTGGAACAAGTTTAGGATGAAGTAAAGTTCCACTTTTAGTCACTTGACGTTACCATGGCAACAATAAATCGAAAACAGCATAGTTTCCATTCAATAATGCAAACGGTGTGAACTGTCACATACGGCACAAACACAGACTCGGTAAATACAGTGCGTTAATGCGGTTTCTAAAATTATAAATAAACATAAATATTCATACAATAATCAAAGTATTATATGTATTAATACATTATTAACTGAATATAATTCCATGCTAATATTCATGTACTGTTTTTAATGCATAGCAAATGTTTCTGTACAATCCGATCGTATTTCATATTGAAAATCATTCAAATACCCAATTTCTGTGATTACATTTGCGTCAGTTGTTTGAAATCATTATCCCCTCAGAATATATTCATTGGCGCGCACTCTATTATTACTCGCCTCAGTGTGTATCTATGAGATTGACAAGATTGTTACGGCGCAATTATTCGTGTGATGTATGCGTTACTTGATAATAACGTAAATCGCAACTAAACATCTCGAAAGCGTCTCGTAAACATACACGCCGTGCTTTGGATCGGGCGCCGACCGAAACAAATGAATTACATTTGTAATACACCCTTGCGTCGTTACGTCTCTCGCATGATCCGCGTCAAGAGATGTGTGTGTTGTGTGTATTGTTCGTCACGGGCCGCGTCTAGTTGGGCGAAAGCGGGCAAAACCAATAGTTCCCATTAAGCTAAGTGACCAAAATTACTCCGAAACGTATGCGAATTGTGTACGCTGAATACGCGCGAGCAATTAACTTAATTAAAGTTTGTTGCCGTTTGTTGGCGTTCGTTACCGTTTGTTACCGTTTTGACGAGAGCTGTGCATGATGTGTGTGTTTGACTAGGTCTAGAGATGTAGTATACAACACCTGAGGAGATTTGTATATTGCTCAAAGGATAGATAGATGAAATGCATTGTGGTTGTGAATGCTTTGAGATGGACAAAAAGTGTGTGTAAGAAATAAAAACGCATTTCGGCGACAAACGCGATGTAAGTTTTTGTTTATTCACACCTAAACGAGTTGGAAAATGGCGTCTTTTGAGAGTGCACGCACAAAGAAATCGTTTCTAATCGGACCTACCCTATTTCCACGCAACTTGGCTTTCTTAGACATCTTGAAAAAAAAATATATAAGCACGAAATAAGGCACAAATAAAATCCCCTTTCAAGGCAAGAGATTTGGGGCCGGGGTTAGGCTTTCTAACGTAAGCAGCCGAAATGAAATCTTTAAAAGGAGCGAAATAAACACATCGCACTCCTGCACAAACACACCGGGAACACTTCATTATACCTGTCTACCTCGGCGTGTCGGCGCGTTCCTTCGAGAGGGCGCGAGGAAGCGAGCAAACAGTCGCGCTGCGAAAACGCCGCGACGAAGAAGAGAAAAACGAACCTAATCTATGCCGCCACCAACACCGCCAGTGCTAAGAGATGCTGAACAGTTGCTTCTAGCTTTCCCCAAAGGTATATCCGAGTCAAATTGAATGCAAACAGAGGAAAATCCAGTTATTTTATGTTTGACTTTAGAAAAAGACGCCCACGCATTTAGCGAGGCACTTGTTAAGGGGCGCGAAAAATATGAATCAATAATCTGTTATTATTGATTAGATAAGGAGGCAAGCGCAAAAGAAAACCGCCAACTAGGTCGATTAGCATCTTGCAAGTTATAAAGGACCCTCTGCCATACGTGGTACGGTGTGGTTTCTGCGGCGACGACATAGTATGGTGCCCGGCACTCATGATGGCAGGCGCGCGCATTGTTTAATAATAGAGTGGGCACTCACCGAGAATTTCCACCGTGTGCGTAATCTCTCTCGGTTCCAGCGTGCCGATCTGGCAGACATAGTCACCCGCATCCTGAGGTCCTGCCTCCTTGATCTGCAAGTTGTAGCCGTTCACAAGGCTGATGCGCGGATCCGGCGAGACTTTCATGTTGCCGGCGGAAAGCACGGCAATGCCACGCTTCCACGCCAGTACGTAATGACCTAGAACAAAGAACGCAAAAATTATTAGGTATAAAGAATAGTAATATCATCCGGGCGATAAAATTATTTAAAATTCCTGCGAATGATGTGATCAATACGAATGAAATACGCTGCGAGAATATTCAGAGATATTTCTGGTTAAAAATTGAAAGAAAACCGCAGTGAAAGAATGCATTGCATCGACGGAGTTGGATGGCAATAAAAGCGTATAGAATTGATTTCGAATTCGCATGCCGGCCGTATAAGGGCGATAAAAAGGGCGCCGCCGACGCGCGATTCCGAACCGAATTACACCCGAACCGCCGCCAAGTTTATATGCACGTGAAGATATTACGCGCATATAAATACGATTGTATAAACTATTCCGATGCATATAAAACGAAAGCCGCAAGACGCGCGCACGCCGCAGAAACAAAAAATGATGACCATGCGATACGCAAAAACGCGGAAACGTATGCAATAATTTCGACGGTAGTCATAAAATATTGTACACCTCATGTTTTTTGTGGCGATGATTGTGGCCAAGGTGTAAAAAACTTTTTGAGTATTTTTTTTTGTTGAACAACTCCACCCTAACAAATTACGGCGCTTGCAAATCGAGCGCTCGGGCATGTGTGCGCAATAAAAAGCAAACAACGCAAACAGAGAAAACAAAGCCAGCGCGCAAATAAAGTTATAAACCAGGCAGTAAAAGTGAAATTTCCGCACGCAATCGAAGAGGTGTACGTTTTTTGGCGCAAGGATTGTTAATGGCCATCGCGGAAACAATTTCTGATGCGTTTCACGCAACTACGCCGGCTGAGAGTTTACGGCGGCGCGAGCCCATCGGATTATTATCTTACTTCGCTGAACGGCGGCGGCTGCGGAGGCGGCGAGCGATGGGAAGCAAGCGGAAGTCTATATTTTATTCAGGATATTCAAGATATTTCCCAGCTCGCAATTGCTCGTAACTCTCGTGGGGCGCACCTCGGCGCCGGCAGCAGCGCTGATTTGGAAGTCTCTCGCCGGTGTGCGCCGCCTCCATCAAAACCACCGCTTCTCCGTTTCGGCGGTCGCGTTCGCCGAAGCGGAGCGCCGGCAACCATCAAGCAGCAAACCTTCGTTTCGCTTGTTCCTTGGGGAGCTACAACCCCCGAGCGGCGGGCGGAATGCCAGCACAGCCGCGATTGTAATATCCACACATTCTTGTAATTGCTTAATAATTGTTGCGAATTTTAATTGATTTAGTTCGGGGAGCGCGCGCGCGCGAGTGAATTCAAACAGTTTGCTTAATTCGATTGCTGCACCCTGCATCCAAGTCAAACTTCGACACTTTGCCAACGACCTTGAACGAAACCATCTCATCCCTCGCTACCTGTATCGTAAAATTTCGTGATAATATTTTAAAGCGCTCTCATGAGGATGAACATACGGAATAAATTTCAAACTTATTTGAAGTAAAATCGTAAGGTGCCAACGAATCGAAGGAAGGGATGATGGCAACTGAGATGGTGGAAACTTTGCTTTGAACTTTGCTCGTTTGCTGCAACTTTAATATTTACGTATACTTTCTAGTTGGCACTCGACGACGGCAATGCGTCTGCGTACCGGTTGCCTGTGTAAACAATGTAATATTAATTAGCAAAACATTTGCTCCGAATAGTTCTCTGAGCGGGCCGAAACTGGGGCGCAAAACTTGCCGCTTCCCGGACGAGTAATAGCGCAATTACACGCGGCGCTCCTCTCACCGGGCATGTAAGACTGCAAATTTGTCCAACAATGCTTACATGATTGCTTCTTGAAAGTTTCACGAATGAATATTTAATCATTTTCTGCTTCAGTGTGATAAATGCAAGTTTTGTGAGCAAGAAATTGAAAATTGTAAATATCGCATATTATATATTACGAATTACGCATATAATTCACTTATTTTAATCAAAAAAGTCCACATTTCACGTATAATAAATTTTGAAACTTGTGAGTCGTGTAAACTTGAAAATGTACTGATGAGAATTGAGCGATAAACATAACACAATCCGACATAGTTTGTCGGCGAGTTTTTCGACAATCCCCACGTCCGCTGCCCACGCGATAGAAAATACAATCGACGCGGGCCCGCAAACTAATAATAACTTCAATCGAATCCTCTTCCTACGCCAGCCTGCGACTCTCAATCGACGATTCCGGACTCGGGGCTGTGCGCAAAAATAAAACGCTGCAAACGTATTGCACACACGTATTGCTTCGCTCTCTCTCGACTGATACAAAAGTAGTTACGAACAGCAAACAAGCTCACTACCCTCGAAAATTGAACGCGTGGTATTATGACGATGTCGTTGATTCGTTTGAGTTCATATCCAATTTCTGTGGCTAATTTCAGCGTTGATCGTTAGAAAATTCGCAACCATAGTACGTAGCTACCTACCTGATAGTGAAAATACAAACCCCTTGCATTGATACCACAATGTTTGCAACACGATGTGCTATGCGCAGATAGGTTCAGACTGCGGGAATGCACTGCGTTGTGTGCTCGAATATTCGCCGCCACTGCGAACGTCGATGTCGATAAGGACGCGGCGGCAGATAGCGCGGTTTGATCGACAAGCCGCCACTCTGCCGTAGTAGTTATTCCTGTTATTGTGCGATTAGATAATGCACGTTCGTGCAATTGTTCGCGCTGCGCATTGCCAAATATGCAACAGTGCGATAACGCGCGGGTTTTACATTTTACGTATATATAAAGCCCAGCGAATCGAAATTATAGATACTCGTAGTTTTGCGTGCGTGCATATGTTAATGCGGCAAATTCGATAATACTGCGCCGGGAGGCATTGTAATGTCCTCGACGCTATTGTTGCTAATGTTGTCGTCTGTTTGTCGATGCGGTTTAATTGGCGGTCGACTAGTCCAGCGGCCAGCGTCGTGTGTTATGTACCAAAACTCAACGCGTAGCACTGGCCTAGTAGCTTTCACAGCTCACGCGTTATCACACAAGCCTCTCGAAGCTTTCGACCAATTCCATCACAAATCGCTTTGCGTGTATTGGAATTAAGCTAAACTAATCCAGCATCAGGGATCAAAAATTGTGATTTTGGTTTGCTTGGATAATAATTATGGTTATTGTGTTGGTAAACGTATCGATTAGCGGGCGATTAGTCGCGTTAATAAGATATGATGCGCATGCGCGTGATTTACATTGATGCAGCGTTGACAAGTCAAGCATTATATTATCTCTTGTGCATACCTATTATAAGCCGAGGCCAAGTTAATTAACAATCCTCGTGTTGCATCGCAGCGCATTCCGCGGCTCATTATGATGAGCAAACTAATTAATAAAGTTAAATTTGTATTTGCCAATCGCCAATCATCCTCTTATAATATACATGCCTACAGAATTTGTTTTCAATATCATTGACCACACGATTATAACTTTTAAAGTATGTCGTGATCATAGTTCATATTAAACTCTTATCAAATAATATCTACATGTTTTAAAATAAAAACTCCAAACGGTTGGTAATAAAACGTTCGTTGAACGTAAGTGTCAGATGTAATCGTTTATAATTAAATATTAAAAACGTTACGTGCGGGCATGTCACTGCCCGCATGTATCATAATTTGTTACAACGACATTGCTTTAAATCTAGGATTAATGACGAGGACGTTTTCAGCACGCTGTGTGCTATGTGTGAACTATAAGATCACCATGACAACAATTCAACATAAAAGTGCGCATTTAGTTTCCTAATGCAACTAAAATTTCGGATACAGTTTAAACATTAAAAATATGTTGGCTGACGCGTATGCTGTAGCCTGGCTCGTACGTGAGTAAAGGAGCGAGCCTTGGCGCACGACAGATGCGACATTAAAATTTATGTCATGTCACAGGATGTGTATTCATACGGAGTAAACGGAGCATGCGACGCGAGACGAAAGCCGCGCTGTATAATCACACGCCGAGTCCATCCAGCACTCTTCTTCTTCTTCTTCTTCTTGCAGAAGGACGTCAGGACGCAGTCCTTAAGCATCGCGAGCGAGACGTTTAACCGCTGGCGCCGCGCGAAACCGAGCAAATGCGAGAGGAAGGCCAATCACATCATTGAAGCGCTAAAAACGACGACCGGGCAATAAAAACTGAGCTTCCGCACGACGCGTAAGAGCGCATAATAATGGCCATCATAAAATGAACGAGGAAGAACTTTAACTCACGAAAACGTAAACCAAAACCGAACCGACGCAGAAATAGTGTCCTGTTTTACGATTCTTACAACTGGTAAAGCAAGCTGAATCGGTAAAATGACACTTTTAGACATTGGTAAATCCTTTAGTGACTAACGATCGGTCTAAAATTACATACGATTGTGTTTTAATGCACAAATCGTACAATGTTTGATGATTTGACGATCAGTTAGAAATTATATGCACGCAAATGTGGTTCGGCGTCCGGTATCGAATTTCAGGAATAACAGAATGACCATTACGAATCAATTACGCCGCCAATATTGGCTCGAATCTTCATTTGATTGTCGGCGCACGAACGAGCGGTTAAGCTACCCGCCACTGCAGTTTAATATAGTTTCCCTGACCGGCGTCCAGACATCAAATTTAAATTTCAACAAACACATCACCCATCAAATACATATTTCCACCCAGTGTTATGCGTACTGTGGTTTTATCGCTGCCATCGATGACAATACCGCTGATATGAAATAAAACGAATTAAAACAATCAGTTTTTCGTACAACGAAGGGGATTGTTTTGTAATTATTGATAATAAACACAATCTGCTTTTGTTCGATCTCGTTGGCTTGGCGGTAACACACCCAAGCAGCGTTTGCAAATGTTATTAAATCATCTCGAGCGTAAATTAATTAATTTCCTTTTGACTTCCGCGAGTTGTTTCAGCGAGACTTCGTAATTGTAAGAAAACGCGTAATTAAATGTTGCTCGCTGCCGCCGCCCGAACGCAACTCAATCTTTAAACGCATTCAAACAGCAAAACAGCACAGCGCGCCACAAAA